CCTCCCCCCCCCCCCCCCTCTCTCTCTCTCTCTCTCTCTCTCTCGCTGCTGCCATCCCTCACCCATCCCCCGTGCGTCTGCGTGCGAGCGCCCGGGTGCTCTGCGGACGAGGGTGCGGGTGGCGCGGAGCGAGGGTGCGGATAGGGAAGAGAGAGAACTCTTTCGGTGGGACACACTCGAGATCCGTCCACCCCCGTTAATTGTCGATTTTTACGTCGGATCGCGCGAACTAGGAGAGCTGCAGGGAGAGGAAGGTAGCGCGGAACAAAATTGACTCGGCGACTACTCCGAGAACCAAACGGGGGTGGAGTCGGTCGTGTGCCCTACGGTGTCTTTTATTCATTCCGGCTCGTACGGTCTCCTGGGACTGTGCGACGAAATGCAACGTAAAAACGCAAAACCGCGTGTGCGAGAGAGAGAGCCGGAATATTTTACGAGCTTCAAGCAGTCTGGCTCCCTCCTTCTCATCCCTTTTTTCAGAGCGCTGTCAGTGCGCGAGAGACGACACGCTGTGTTAGTGCGTGGTGTGTTAAAAGAGTTATTACATGGCACTGTGTGTGTGTGTGTGTGCGTGTGCTGTATTCTCTCTGTGGTCTATATGAATAGTCGTTACTTCAAACTCGTCTCGAGCGAGATACTTAGATTTGAATTAAGAGTTAGATGTGAGTCTTTCGGTTGAATTACAATTACAAATGTAATTTTATATATCATATTATTCAAATGAAAAAATCTGACTAAATCTGACTAAAAATTCTAAATAAAATCTAAATTCAGATTTAAGCTTAATATTGGACAAGTATCAGGTAAAGATAATTATAATGGGTCTTGTTTCCCTCTCCCCTTCTCTCTCTCTCTCTCTCTTTATTTCTTTCTCTTTTTAGTTGCTGAACGTCACGGTAATTCTCGCGGTGCGATTTCCATCGCCCGTTAACCCATTTACTATATTTTGGCGATTTTAGCGCGGTATTGACAGCTGTCTTTTGATCATCACGTTTGTGACGGCGCATCGCCATTCTCCCATAATCCCTCTCTCCGAGCGAATTATACAGCTCGCCTAAAGCGGGCTTTAAATCCATGACATAGGCACCTCTCTCTTTCTCTCATCCCTCTGACCGGGCCTGTATTCAATTTACTGCCCCCTTCCCCAAACTCTCGGCTAAAGCGACAAAATGTGACGTGAAAGCGCACGCGGGAAAGGGCTGTCGCCCCACGCGCGCGTTGAAAATATACATTGCCTTTTATATTTTCGCGCGATCATTATTTTCAGCGGGCCGCGGTGCTGTATCGCTCGCCTCTCTGGCCGACGCAATTCAATGACCATGACTGCGCGCGCTGTACTCGCGAAATCTTATTATATGCACCGCATTTTTGGCGAGCGTTTGATTTACGTACGCGCTAACGCACGCCGAACGCGCACGCTACGCGTGGCACGTATACGTCGCTGCTGCAACGAGTGCGCTAATGCGATCACGAGAGAGAGAGAGAGAGAGAGAGAGAGAGAGAGAGAGAGAGAGAGAGAGGGATGGAGAGCGTAATTCGATTGGGAAAGAGAATGCTTTTCGATCCTTAATCGCGATGGATATACCATTACGGATCGCCCGTCAGACAGACGTTTACGAGCCTCGCTCGGCGAGGCGATTTATGTAACGGCACAGGATGAGAATCGTGTATCGCCGTGTAATCCACATGCGTCGGGGAACGCGAGATAAACCGTTACCGCCTTGAACTTGCATAACGCTTGCATAATTTTTAATCGATACGCTGCTGAACGGTGCGAGTGTGCGTGCAACCGAATCGCTCGCCTCTGGAATAATTTTCATAATCGTTGTCGCAGTGGCCATACGTGTGACGTCTTGACCTATAAATATCGCGATTCTCTCGGTGATTTCTCCCACGCGAGAGCAGTTCCATTTCGTTCCGATAGCGATAACGCGAATTGAGAATATCTCCTTCTTTTTCTCCAAAGGCCGTCGAAGGAGAGGAGAAGGAAGAGCGAGCAGTGACTTCTCATCCGAATCTTTTAATGATCCCACCCGCGAAGATTGATGTCGCGCCAAACTCGAATAATTGAATCTTAAATTCGAGTCGCATACATATGTCCCCGGGTAGAATGCAAGCGGCGTAATAAGCGACGAGTGCAGGGCGCTGTTTGCGAAATATCAGCTAAAGTAGAAGAGAGTGAATCATTACTCTCGCCTACTTACGCCTACTGTCACCTACTGGCGGCTCGAGCCGCGCGATATCTGGCAGATAATCCATCAGGATGCGAAATTACATTATGTCCTTGAGAACGCCACCCTGCCACCACGGTGGCGTATCAAATCCGTAATGTTACCATTTGCGGCGCAAGAAGGGAAAGAGTATATTAAAGCGGAGAGAATATCGGGAGGTGCGTTAATTAGCGCGCTTATTTTTATAACGAGACACCATTGGCGGAAAGAGGACGTCAGTGTCGTGGAAAATAATTTCAAGAGTCGCGTTTTCCGAGAGGAGATATATCTGTGAAGTAAGGAATATTTTTTTCGGGGGAGAAGGCTGCTATAATATCGTATCTACTTAAATGTAGATTATTTTATTTAAATAGTGTAAAATTGCTTTCATAAAAAGCTAAGGAGTTTTAAAAAAAATAATAAATTTTGTTATTTAAAAAATACTTTATATTAATGTAGACAAATATATTATCTACCTACGAATATTTTTTAAATATTTTTTCTCTCAGTGTAGTATCATGAAAAGTTGTCTAAAGGATCTCAATTATTTGAGAAAGAATATCTGAAGCTTTATTATCGAACGTCAAAAATAACCGGAATATTAAAAAAGATATCTACTTCACTCACTCTCCCTCGTTCTCTTCGATAATAGTACGATAACAAGAAGATGAAAATGAGAGCAGAATTCGCAAACGAGAGATGCAGCCGCGTTTCAGATTATCGTCGCGAGTTCCTATAATGATAACGTTAAATTAGACTAACTAAGGCGCGCTTCCGCGTTGTCAGCGAGGAGCGTGCTTCTGTCAAAAATAGTGACACGAGTATAACGCAATCGTGGCCGCTATCTTTGGCACGACCTGCGCACGTCTGTAACCTTCCGGTGCGATTAAGAGTATATCGAATGTCGCGGTAGAGGCGAAAATTCACGTCCAATTCATTTCGTATCAAGAGGGAATTCCCCACAACTGTCGTCATGAAAACCTACTCGGTCGCGTGAGAGATAGATAGAGGAAAGAAAGAGAGAGAGAGCTCACTGAGATAATGACGCGGCACGTGCGGTGCGTACACCCGTTAGAACAATCTCAATAGCACATTTTTCGATTTCGCCGCGATCGATCGAGGACTCGAGAACGCGCGGCTCTCATTGATCGTACGAGAGCTACGAACCCCTCGCGACTGTTTGCGCTGCAAAGAGGGTCGATCACGTTGGCGATTCACGTGTCAGGATCTAGGTCAATATGCTTCTACGATATTAAACTATTCGCGAGGGAGGTGACACGCGAGTTTCAGCGAGCCATGTAACC